CCAGACTGTCGAACAGCCGAGGGCTGATCTCGGGGTGGGGGCAACGCCGGCGGCTCCCATCCCGGAGTCCCCGAGTGCTCGGCAGCCGGAGAAGGAGTCAATCGCCGCTGCCGGTAGACTTGGCGATGACGAATGGGTGGCGTTGACAACGGACGGGTCAGCAGTAGTGCCCGAAGCAATGGCAGGAATTGTTGGGTCTCCGGGAGCAGAAGTTGGAGTTGCCGGCGATGCGCCGGAGTCTAGGACGACGAAGCCGGTGGCGGCCGAGGAGCAAACGGCACCCCCTGAGGTGTCGGCAGGGATGGTCGAACCCACTGTCCAGCCACGGAGCCCCCCGATGGTGCCTCGAGCTATAGTGGAAGAGATCGAGCGTGCTGAACCTCGACTCCAATCCATCCGAATCCTCCGCAAGCGTGGCGACGAGGTGGTGGTTATCGAGGAGGAAGACACCACCAGGGAGATGAGGAGACTGAAATCCACCGTCACTGGAGTAATGAAACAAATCGAGGTGAGTACTATATCTGGAATGCTCGTCTATGATGTTGGAGATCGGAGTTCGTCATTATCATTGTGCATTTGCAGGGGATAACTCGGACTGTCGAGCAACGGCACCAACTGATAAAGAGGATGGAACCCCTCGCCGAGGAGAACAAGAAACTCAGGGAGACGATGAACCTCTCAGAGAGAAACATCCAGAGGGCCTGCCGTGAGCGAGACCTTGTAGAGTCCAACGCGCGGAAGGAGGGTCCTATCCGAGCAGATGGCGGCTGCGTCCGAGTAGCTACAGAGCAAGTCCGAGCAGCTGGCCACTGTCTCCGAACAACTGAGGGGTGCCTCCGAGCAGTTGGAACAGAAATCCGAGTAGCTCAGAAGTGTATCCGAGCAGAAAGCAGGTATGGTATATCGGCGAATGTACTTTGTATTGTTGAACAACCATATTTTTGGTGATAACTGTTGTGCTTGTAGAGCAAGACGCGGAGCTCGGCCAGCTGCGCCAAGCCGTCGAACAACTCCGATAGGAGAAGACGAAGGAGTCCGAACGAGCAGACAAACTGGCCGAGGAGCTAAAAGGTGAATACTTCCTGGTTGGCGTTACTGTTGAAGTAGTCTCCTTGTTTGATGGAACCTTGTAACGCTTGCAAGCTACCGTCATAAACCCAATTACAGGTTAGGCGTGTGATGCCTATTAGCTCATGAACCTCCAAGTGAGTGAATCGTCACAACGGGGACTAGCTTGCCGGCAAACAAGTGAACCTCGGTGAAAAATCATTGTGTCACCTTGTCACCGGGATTTTATTGGTTTTCATTGTGATTGATTGGTCTTTTCTTGCCACGGCAGCATAAACATCACTACCCTACCTTGTATTTACATTTTCTAGTGTAGCTAAACTCTTTAGTGTAATTAGTTTTGAGAGCTACCTTGTGTCTTGTGTAGTGGTTAGTGAAGCTTTTTAGTTAGTCTTTAAGAGCTCACTAACTTAGTGGTAGTGATCTAGCATTGTGTGCTTAGAGACTATAATAACTAGAATTGTGGTAAGTGGCTTGTATTTTTAGTAGGCCGGCGTAAGAATTGCTTCGTTTCATATTTGTCTAACCACTTTGCATAGTGTTATTGTAGAAATTTTTAGACCATTCACCCGCTTCCTCCCGACGTGGCTCCTTCCTCTCTCCGGCGAGCATAGGGTTCCGGCGTGGCGGCCATGGCAGATCTGGTGGCAGAGGCGGTGGATCCATGCCAGGTAGGCCTCCTCCCCCTCCTCTCGAATTGAGACATGGCTAGAGTACAGTTAGGGTTAGGCTCAGCTGCGGATTTTTTTTGGGCAATGGGGGAGGGCATGGTTGCCGCTAATCAGGGCGGCAGTGGAGGCTCGCTCATCAGAGCGGCGACATCTGATGCGCACGCATAAGGGCAGCTTTGCACTACTGGACTCGCATGCTTTGCCGAGGGCCTCACCAGAAACCCTCGGTAAAGGCTTTGCCGAGGGCTACACCCCTCGGAGAATGTTTAGACGGCGAAGGGGTCTTTGCCGAGGGCCCTTTATCGGGCACTCGGCAAAGCCTTTGCCGAGGGCTAAGACGGCCCTCGGCAAACAAAAGAAGCAGTCACGCGCCGGCGCCGTTGGCGGTTTCTTTGTCGAGGGCCGACCCTCGAAAAAAAATTTTTTTTTTTATTTTATTTTTTGCTGAGGGCCGGCCCTCAGCAAAGAATTTTTTTTAAATCTTTGCCGAGGGCCTCCTCCCTGGCCCTCGGCAAAGAAATTTTTAGGATTTTTCCCAAAAAAACTTTGCCGAGGGCTATTGCAAGGGCCCTCGGCAAAGATTTTTTTTTTAAATAATTGTTTACTGAGGGCCGGACCTCGGTAAAGAAATAGTTTTTTTTGAATTTTTTTAAAAAAACCTTTGCCGAGGGCCTGCTCCCTGGCCCTCGGCAAAGAAATTTTCAGGATTTTTCAAAAAAATCTTTGCCGAGGGCTATTGCTAGGGCCCTCAGCAAAGGACCCTTCTCTGCCGAGGGCCTTGGTCATTGCCCTCAGCAAAGAGACAGAAATTTAATTTTTTTTTGGTTTTTTGCATTCCATCGACACAAGCATTTCATATATATACATATATATATCACACGTAACCTATTTTCTCACAATATATCACAACCATAATAGTGAACCACAAATCACAATATATTACAACGACAAGTCACATGTTCATCATCATTCACATGTTTATTACGACAAGTTAATGAAATCCAAGCACAAGTCACAACCATAAATCACAAATCACGCTAAAGTCCAACCACATCACCTAGCACGAGTCCTCATCAAGCTAGCCTATGAGACGATGGTGAAGGAAAAGCAGATCACCCGGTGGCCGCACTAGCGGGTTGATTGGAACCCATGGACGAAAAGTTTAACAAAGGAGCGAGATTGCATGTGTGAGTAATCCGGAAAATAGTTTTGGAACTTAGAGATTGCATCTAGTAATCTAGGAATACAAAAAGATTAGACTCAATTGAAAATTTCGACAAAGACTCTCCCACGCACGGGAGGTTTTCAAAACTGCAAGAAACGACGGCATTTAACGCCTTTAATTTACGACGCCGACATCCACAACGACCTGACGCCGACATCCACAACGCACACCTAACGCCGACATACATGCAAAGCACAAGCGAAAAAGTGAACTTTCATACTTACAAGAGTAGCCGCAGGAGTAGGAGGTGGAGGAGCTGAAAACTACATGTGTACACCCGATGCTTGCCCAAGACTTTGCATGATCACCATCATCTCCGCCATCTGCTTCAGGCGGCCTCTCGAAAGCGACCTTCCGGGCTGCGCACACAGGCGGCTCACCTCGCTTACGCTCTTGACTTTGCCTTCTTGTTTCTTACAGCTCGGCCTGCAATATTTCACTCCAATGTATCAGTAATGCAAATCTAATTTAGGTGTGTAAATATCTACGTACGACGAGTAAAGCAGGAATTACCTGGAGTGCTTGGACCTGCTGCAGTGCTAGAGAAGGCCGTCATGTTAACGGGTTTCAGGCATCCGACGTCGCAACTCACTCGAAACCTTCTTAATTTTTTACCACAACCTACACATGCGATAACATGACATCTCGCCAAGTTTCGTGATTTTTGGACTTCGTATGGATTTTATATAATTTTAAAACACTTTTCCGGCAAGTCGGTCGTCATGTTACGCGAACAAGATGCGCCAAATTTGATGCGAGTTCGTGAATAGGGACTCAACATGCACCAATTAACATGAATAACATTTTTCGAAACACTACATTGCAATATTCCATGCACCTGCAGTTCAAATTTGACATATTCGAAAAAAATCAAAGAATCAAAATAAATTAAGGAAATATAAAAAAAATCAAAATTTGCCTAAATTTTAAAATTGAATTCAAAACAATGTATTGTAGCACCACAAAAAAACTAGGCTAAAAACAAAAAAAAATTACCGAGGGATCTTTGCCGAGGGCCTGGCCCGTGGCCCTCGGCAAAGAATTTTTTTTAAAAAAAATAAAACATCTTTGCCGAGAGCCTATCCTGTCCCTCGGCAAAGGGCTTCTTTGCCAAGGGCCTAGCCTCGGGCTCTCGGCAAAGACGATTTATAAAAAAAAAATTTGGCCGAAAATCTGGTTTTAAAAAATATTTGCCGAGGGTCTGGTCTAGGGCCCTCGGCAAAGACTTAAAAAAAATTGCCGAAAAAGCTGGTTTCACAGAAAAAAAAAACTTTGCCGAGGGTCTAACGGGTGGCCCTCGGCAAAGCTTGACGGGAAATGGCCGCCGTGACCCAACGGGCCTAATTTGCCGAGGGCATCTTTGCCGTGGGCCTGTCTTTGCCGAGGGCCGTACCCTCGGCAAAGGCCTCTTTGACGAGGGCCGTTCTTTGCCGAGGGCTCCTGTGGCTGGCCCTCGGCAAAGAGTGTCTTTGCCGAGTGCCCGAGATTTGGCCTGAGGCTTAAGCACGCGTTTCCAGTAGTGTTGGTTGCGCGCGCATTAGGGGCATCGGCGGCGGCGCGTGCGCATCAGAGCAGTGGCTGCTGCTCCTCTACAATGGCAACCCACCCCTACCTTGCCCGGCGTTGATGTGCCGCCTTGTCCCCATAGATCTGTGCACCTGCAAATGATTTTATTGCGCAGGCGGCCTCGTGCTCTCCCCACGCCTCCTGCATCCTCCTGCATAAGGGTGGCTTCCTGATGCTTTCTGCAATTTAGATGTTCATTTCTGTGATGTCACCTGCTGCATATTTTCCCTTGGTCATGCTATAATATCTATAGAGAGCCTTGAGAGCCATTGAGGAAATCTATCCCACTTGGGAAATGGATGATACAGAGATTGCTGATTGATACCTAAATGCAGAAGCACTTACGTGTGTCTTGTTTTCGTCCACTATAGGTCTGCAGTATGCTTTGTGAAAAGTTTAGAAAGCATGGTCTGGTGAAACCCAAACAAGTTATGCGCAGCCTTGTTACACCGTTACGAATGAATGCGGGGATGGACGATGATGTCGCACCAAAAAAGCCACAACCAGAAGTATTCGACGGACCGCTGCTGTCTTCACGCGATAAAGCCAAGATTGAACGGAGGAAAAGAAAAGAGGAGAGGCAAAGAGAGGTAATCTATTTTGCAGACAACTCCTCTTAGATCGCCACATAATGCAATTCTTGGTAGTATACATCTGATGTTCAGCATCTTCCCCATTCTGTTCTTATTTTTTTTTCAGACGCAAGTTTTCGTTCCTGACTATGCTCTTCTTTTCATCTATGGACTGTCCTGCTTGCTGGTACAGGTTCAATATCAAATGCATGTCACGGAGATGGAGGCACTTAGGGCTGGAATGCCTCCTGTTTATGTAAACCACAGTAATGATGGTGGGCCAGCTGTTAGGGATATACATATGGAGAACATCAGCGTCACCGTTGGTGGTCGTGATCTAATTCAAGAAGCCACTATAACACTTGCTTTTGGAAGGCACTATGGTGAGTACTTTGTGGTGTTTGGTAGCTTTCAGTAGATAATAAAACTATGGCCAGGGCCCGGGAAGCATGCATGTGCAGTTCGTTTATACATATCTGTAAAAGTTATCATTGAAATGATACCCTGCAAGTTTCAGAGTCAATTTGTTGATGGGCTCTGATTATGTATGCATATTGTTTTGAGTCTGTATTTACTAATTACTAATTCAAGGTTCATCAAGCATTGGATGGTCTTGGAAAATTAGGTTGTGAAGATTGCGGACTTTGGAGTCTCAAGGAATCCATCTCAAGAGGGAGACATGACTGCTGAAAGTGGTACCTACAGATGGATGGCGCCTGAGGTGTGTAGATTTCTTCGAGTCATCTAGTGTGCTCATAAGAAGCTCGTCTTACCAGACACAAAAACATGGCTGTATGCACGTGTACACAGTTATGTTTTACCTTGCTATGTATTTTTTTTAATGCAACTTACCTTGCTATATTTCATCTGTCAAGACGTACAAGACATAGGAAGATTAGTTTTACTTGTCGCACTTGTCTCAGAAGGGAGTTCTTTCTGTGCAAGTAGAGATATTTTATATGTGCACCATGCTTATTAGAGTTGCGTGTCTTACCAGGTAATAAACCATAAGCCGTATGATCACAGGGCAGACATCTTCAGCTTTGGTGTCATTCTGTGGGAGCTGGTCACTTCAAAGGTAAACCATGGTGCCGAATCGAGCTTTTGACTTGTTTTGAGTTATATGAGCATCTTATAATTGGGTTGAAGGCAACACTTAGCCTTAAATGGTAAATGCCTGTAGATTTTGTATGATTTTTTAGTGTCAAATCTACATACTTGGGTGCAGATAAGGCATGGGATACTGAATTGGGGTTGCATTCATTAGTTTTTCATGCCTACAGCTCTGTGTCTAATCATGCTTGTTTATCACGATGTGATGGTCTTCTTGACTAGTAAGAATAGGCTAAATTGCCTGTTTAGGAAGACATTGTCTCTTGACTAGTAAGAATAGGTTAAATTGCCTATTGAGGAAGACATTGTTGCCTAACGGATGACACTTAAATTGCTTAAGAAAATGCAATCCACTACAACATTACTTGCTCATCACCAATAGAGGCTCCAGGAACATCCCCTAGCACTTTTAGGTACTTCTTTTTTAGTTGCTACATCTTGCTATTGCACATGTATTTTAAACAGTTCAATGCACTGTTTACATCTTGCTATCCCCATGACCTTCGGATCCGGCTGGTGTGGTGCCCCTCACCGTGTCACCATCCCAGGTCCTCCGACGAGCGACCGAGCGGCGCCACATATGCACTCACCGATCTCGCCTTTACAGCTAACCTTGCTCGTCTAAATTTTAGAACTATGTGCACCCATTTCTCCTCATGCTTGAGCTATCGGCCTTCATTTCTGGTTGTGTCACTATTATTGCTTTATCAGCCACACTGTTTTGCCTAATTTATAACAATATTATTGCTTAACGCCTAACACTATTTTGCCTAACACAATGCACATTTGTTGTGAAACATTTAATACTGAAACTGGCAGAATATTTCGGGGCTTCCAAAAGTAACTGAAACATTGAAACAAAATGCATGGTAAAAATTACCATGTGTTCGCTCTTCTTTTGCATGTCAGTTGGGTGCCTAGACTCTAATAAAAGTGATAGGCACTGAGTTTCTGAAAGTAGTTTTCTAGATCATAGGCCTAAGCCTCGGCCCTCAGGTAGATTCTTGTACATTTGTTAATGTTGATGTCCAAATAGAAATGTAACTGGATGGTTGCATCTGGTGGGCAGTAGCAATAGCATTTTAGGGTGAGAGAGCAGCAACTTCGGTGGTGGGAGCAGCACTTGAAAGTTCCTCGTTATCTTCAAATTTAGTCATGTCGGGGTTATGACCCCAGGGTGTCTCAAGGCGCCGATTAGTTGGCAGGCCACGCGGCCCACAACTCATTGGGTTAACAATGGCCCGAGCGACCGAGGCCCAGCTAGGACGAGCACGCCAAACCAACGCCTAGGCCAGGGTCGGCCACGACCCCTTCTCCTGCCTTAGCCACGCGGAAGACGCGTGACCTCTCCCCCGTCACGGCCCCTGGGGCAGGACGGGGAGAGATTGAGCGCGGCTCAGTATGTCTACTCTGACAAGAACAGGCATGCCGCACTGACCTCATAACGACCGTGGGGACAACAACCACCTCGGACCGGTCAGACGCCATCCCTGTGCCACGCCGCACTAACGAGACAACACCGCACAAGCGGTGGCAGCGGGTACGAAACCCACCGTCCAAATACGGACCGACAGGACGCGCGTACGATCCCACCCGCTACGGGATGGGATCCATGACAAGGGTCACGACCTAGAGACCTCTCCGGTAGGCAAAGCGCCTCTACCCCCAACGATTGGGGTCGTGGCCCTCAGCTCCACGAAGCGACCAGGCGAACAAAGACCCAGGGCAGTTACCTACTACAGGTATGACGCCCCGGGGAACCTGGAGACGATGACGAAGACCATGACGGATGCCACGTTGCACAAGACAGCTGACGAACTATCGCCATGGCTACAATGCTGCCACGACCAGCACAGTAGCACCACGTTAGACCCTGCCGCGACGTGGCCACAAGACCATGACGATAACCATGCCCGGGCAAGCATCAGAAGACGGCGTAGCTTACAAGCCAAGTTAGCTAGGACCTCCCTCAGGCTCTCGACCCTTCGGTCGAGGGAACCTCCTCTTTGTAACGAGACCAGGCCCCAAACTCTATAAGGGCAGCCAGGGCTCATATATCTTTACATTCTTCATCCTCTACCATTCCATCCATAGCAGTAGGGCTCCTGGAGCTTTTCTTCGGGCTGCCCCTCATCTAGCATAGATTCTACCACCTCTTTCACCATTCTTGCACCCCCATTGCAAGAACTTCAGATTATTCAAGCGAGGAACACGCACTCGATCTTCTCTGAGACTGGACATAGGGCTTCGGCCTAAACCAGTATAAATCCTCGTATCTATTGGATGCTACCATCGTCTTCCTAGAGCAGTGTGGCAATCGTATAAATTTACTAGTCCGGTTTACGAAACACCAACAGTTGGCGCGCCAGATAGGGGACAGTCGCGCACTCTCGTTTGATTGAGGAAGGAAGCGATGGCTCCTCGCCCCGCCGGTGGACTCACTGGTGGAATGGCCCGTGGCGGTCACAATCCACCATGAAAACTACGGGTTCATCGGCGCTAAAGGGACAGCGCCCGCATCCGCCTTCAGCCACAGTTCAGACTTCCACCTTGGAAATCTAGGTCACGTGGCTCACGGTGGACACACTCCCAGAACTGCCCTCGGGCGCTGCATCCCGAAGTACATCTACCTAGAGGGGACAGTACCCTCGCTCGTCGCAAGCTGTGGCCAAGTTTCCCATACGAGAAACCAAAGGAAAACGGTTCACGACGAACTCGCCCAAGGAATGGCCACGATCGGCCACATCCTTCAAGGGAACCACGCGGTTAACCACACCAAAGGGCCGGCGCCCGCGTCCGCCCCTGGCCACGACCCAGACCTCCACCTCGGGAATCTGGGCCCCACGGCCTATGGCGGGCGCACTCTCGGAACTGCCCACGGGGGCTGCATCCTAGAGTTTACCTACGTAGGGAGCCCGGGGCCCTCTCTCATCACTGGCCACGACCAAGACTTCCACCCAGGAAGCCTGAAGTCCGTGGCCCATAGCGAGCTCGCCCGAGGAATGGCCCGCGGTGGCCGCAACCCTATAGGGAAACACAAGATCACTCGAACCAACGAGTCAACGCCCGTCATCGGATACTACCTAGTCCAGACTCACCGCATGAGGAAACTAGACTCGACGATCGAACCACGCCGTGGACAACGCCTCCGCTGTCAGCAGGACGCAATGAGCTAGGGCGCGCACGAGCAGCAGAATCAACCACCGCCGCACAGCGGCATCACGGGTGTTCAGGTGGCCAACCGACGCCACGCCACGCAGAGCCAAACCCGGATCCTGGGTCCGACCCCGTATAACGAACAAGCCACACGACACACCCCCGCAAACTGTTAACCATCGCTCGGATGCGCATGCATCCGAGGAAGAGGGCTCTTTGAGCGCACCTCGCGCCGCGACGAGCGGATCGAACTACGTTGCACTAAAAGCCAGCTCCCGTAGCGACAGGTGACGACGGCTCTCCGTCGAGAGCGGAAACCACACCTAGAGGTGGGGACGCGGCGACAACAACGTCGTCGCAATGGGAGGGTTCGAGCACCGGAACGCACAAGCTCCCCCGACCAGAAACTACACCTAATCGGACGCGAAGAGGCCCTCCTTAGGGGCTCGCGGGCCCATCGAGGATATCGAGCCGACAAGGAACAGCCCAAGGCTGCCCGAGGGGTCGATCCTCGCTAGCTATGACCGCTCAGAGCGGTGGAGAAGCGACCTCATCGGTTCGCGGCCCAAGGACCACGACAGCTCGAGCTCAAGCAAGCACTCAGGAGCTCACAGCGCCTCGAGCAGCAACTCCGCCACGAACAGATGCTCGGGGGCTCAACGCGCTCCGAGTTACGACAACCAAATCCGCAACGGCTTCCGACACATCGGTTAGTAAAGTTATCTCCGGCTCTAGCTGCTCTACCCAAACACGTCCACATACACATGTAGGCTCACCCCTAGCTTTAGAAAATCGCGACCAACTCGCGGAGCAAACCACGGGACAGTGCGCTCGACCACTTCGTCTAGGAGCCGCTTAGATCCCCGAGTGACCCGCTCCGGCTTGCACCAGCAGCCAAACACGAGTCACCCGCGGAGGACGCGCACAAGGACACATATACCACGACAACGACAGGACATCCTGACAGGACAAATCATAACGGCCACCCGTTGCATTGAATGCATCAGCCTGCAAGGGGTCGAGCAACGAAGCTCGAGTGGGCCATGACCACGAGCCCATGTTTCGTACGAACACACATATCCGCTCTTTCATGATCACTTCGTGATCGCAAAAACGCTCGGGGGCTACTGTCAGGGTTATGACCCCGAGGTGTCTCAAGGCGCCGATTAGTTGGCAGGCCACGCGGCCCACAACTCATTGGGTTAATAATGGCCCGAGCGACCGAGGCCCAGCTAGGACGAGCATGTCGAACCAACGCCTAGGCCAGGGTCAGCCACAACCCCTTCTCTTGCCTTAGCCACGCGAAAGACGCGCGACCTCTCCCCCGTCACGACCCCTGGGACAGGACGGGGAGAGATCGAGCGTGGCTCAGTATGACTGCTCTGACAAGAACAGGCACGTCGCACTGACCTCATAAGGACCGAGGGGACAGCAGTCACCTCGGACTGGTAAGACGTCATCCCTGTGCCACGCCGCACTAACGAGACAACACCACACAAGCGGTGGCAACGGGTACGAAACCCACCGTCCGAATATGGACCGACAAGACGCGCGTATGATCCCACCCGCTACGGGATGGGATCCATGACAAGGGTCACGACCTAAGCGCCCCGACCCCAACGATCGGGATCGTGGCCCTCAGCTCCACGAAGCGACCAGGCGAACAATGACCCAGGGCGGTTACCTACTACAGGTACGACGCCCCAGGGAACCTAGAGACGACGACGAAGACTATGACGGATGCCACGTTGCACAAGACAGCTGACGAACTATCACCATGGCTATAGTGCTACCACGACCAGCACAGTAGCACCACGTCAGACCCTGCCACGACGTGGCCACAAGACCATGATGATAACCACGCCCGGGCAAGCATCAGAAGACGGCGTAGCTTGCAAGCCAAGTTAGCTATGACCTCCTTCAGGCTCTCGACCCTTCGGTCGGGGGAACCTCCTCTTTGTAACGAGCCCAGGCCTCGAACTCTATATAAGGGCAGCC